TATATATATATATATATATATATATATATATATAATATTATATTAATATATTTATAATATTAAGCAGCTCAAGTGTTTTCAGCTGTTTTGAGCACCAAATCAGCAGAAGACTGGAGACTTTGTCATCATTTTGTCACATTTTAAAATATATATAAACTATTATTTTAATAATGTTTTACTTTTAATATGACTGTTTTTACTGGATTTTTTATCAAATAAAAAAAAAATCATAGTGACCCCAAACCTTCAAACAGTAGTGTATGTACAGTATATACATTGTTGTCATGCTTACATTGCTAAATGAAAATACAAATTAAATTATTGAAAATAAATGATTAAAATGATAATTATTTACAGTCATGCTTACACATACTTGCTTTAGAATAGATATGGTATAATATGGTATTTTTGTTTAACACATGTTGCCATTTTGTCATATAAATTACTTTAAATTCAAACAATAATTTGCCAACCCCGTTTTGGATCATTTCCGCTCTTTAGATCGTTTTTATTTTCTTTATAAGGGTGATTTAATACTGACTAAATAAAATCTTCACAGTGTTTTGGTGTGTATTGCTGGAGTTTTGATGCGAATGTAGTATTTTTGTATATTGCATATTGTATTTTGATTTGTATATGTTTGCTGTGTATTGATAAATCATTCTGTCATTTAGGGGCATTTTTTGTGCCTTATGTGCTGTTTCTCTTCACCTGTGGGATTCCACTTTTCTTTTTGGAGACCTCACTGGGTCAGTTCACCAGTCAGGGTGGAATAACGTGCTGGAGGAAGATCTGTCCACTATTTGAAGGTGAACAATGGTCTCATATACATTGACTTTTAAATATCAATGTATTACTGTTTTTTTACTTCACTACTTTGCTACTTTTTATTTTTTCATAGGTCTCGGTTATGGTAGCCAAGTCGTTGTCCTCTATACTGGAGTCTATTACATTATAATTCTTGCTTGGGCTTTCCTTTACCTCTTTTCATCCTTCAGCTCAGAGCTGCCATGGGCGAGCTGCAACAACTACTGGAACACAGGCATCTCAAGCATAACAGTGTGAATTATCATAATACTGGGATATGTCATTTGAATAACCACTGCCTTCTTTATTTAGAGAACTGCAAAGAGTTGAGAAAAAGCAACATTACTGAATATTCTCCAGAGAAAAGCACATCTCCTGTTATTGAGTTTTGGGAGTAAGTTGTTGAAAATAGCACCCCATTAAACCGGATATATTTATTAGAATTACGCAATTAAGGCAACACAGGATAACAAAACTCATCCAGCTAATTAAAATGATTCTCAATAAAGGTTGCAAAACAGAATGTGATTCCGGATTTTTGCCTACAGGAGAAGAATTTTGGGCTTGTCTGAGGGAATAGAACAGATTGGTAATGTTAGATGGGACTTGGCACTCTGCCTTCTGCTGGCCTGGATCATCTGCTACTTCTGTGTGTGGAAGGGAGTGAAGTCCACAGGCAAGGTGAGAAGTTTGCTAAACTTTTTAACAATGTGTATCATAGGAACATGGAACATGCGAACAGGAACATGGTGAACGGTCTTCCTCTTATTTTCAGGTGGTCTACTTCACTGCGACTTTTCCCTATTTAATGTTGGTAGTGCTGCTGGTCCGTGGAGTTACTCTTCCTGGAGCAAAGAATGGCATCATTTTCTACCTCTACCCTGATCCAACACGTCTCACAGACCCACAGGCACTAAACTGCTCTCTTTTGCCCTTTGTTCCATGAAAATATTGGCATTTTGTGATGTCGAATTGTGAATGATTAGATTTTGAAATAATAAAAACAATAATTGATGTTTAGGTGTGGATGGACGCAGGTAGTCAGATATTTTACTCCTATGGTGTTTGTACAGGAGTACTGACTGCTTTGGGAAGCTACAACAAATATGACAACAACTGCTATAGGTACTTCATATGATCTAATATCGCACTCTCTAGACCAGTAGTATATTCATTGCAAGTTGTACTAAAAAAAAAAACCTTTTTGTATTTTGCTATTTGTCTTTCAGAGACTGTGTATACTTGTGTCTGCTCAACAGCTTAACTAGCTTTGTGGCTGGTTTTGCTATATTTTCGGTCCTGGGCTTCATGGCAGATGAACAGGGAATGGATATTTCAATGGTTGCAGAGTCAGGTAAAAACCATATATAAGGCTTGAAGTCTCTTAAAGCAAGTGAAGGTCAATATAGCATAAAAAAAGCATACAGAAACATAAAAATCAGAGCTCTGGAAATATTAACTGCAAAATGAAGCAATACCATTGGTTACACAATCGCACTGCTAAAAAATTAAGCAGAAATATAATATTTTTTTGTATTACTAGGCACTGCCATTCACATTAGATGCAGTGATTAAGTTGTGTCAAAAAAAGGGGATGGGGAGGGATTCGTTTAATGACTTTTGTTTGTGGCAGGTCCTGGTTTGGCATTCATTGCTTACCCCCGTGCTGTAGCTTTGATGCCCCTGCCTCAGTTATGGGCAATCTTCTTCTTTATCATGATCATATTCCTGGGACTGGATAGTGAGGTAAATACAGGAAGCAATACAGAGGATTTTCCTATATTTAATTTCTTATATCCTAGTATGGATACCCTAAAGCTTTTTCTATGAATCTATCAGTTTGTGTATCATGAAGCCCTGGTAACGGCTATCTCGGATATGTATCCCTCCTTCTTCCAAACTGGACATCGGCGTAAATTTCTTCTCCTCTTCATAAGTGCTGCCAGCTTCCTTGTTGGTCTGCTAATGGTAACAGAGGTGAGAGTCACAAATGAGAACACAAAGATGGTTGATTGAAATAAATAAATAAATACAAACACCACATCTACAGTACCTGTATTTTCTGTCAGCAATTTTTTGTTTTTCTGTTTCACTCTCAGGGTGGCCTGTATGTCTTCCAGCTTTTTGACTATTACGCCTGTAGTGGAATGACTCTTCTTACTTTTGCTATCCTTCAGTCCATCTGTGTTGGATGGGTATATGGTAAATCATTTATTTGACTCTGTAAAGAAAAACTCTGTAAAGAAATGTACACAAATGGTACATGTTTGCATTTGCAACTCTGGCAACCTCTGTTGAAATATTTAAAGAACATCTGCTCAGACGTGTAATTAATTCAACAGTGTACTCAATTCCTAGCACATTAAAAGTGAATTGAACACAAAGTAAAATGATTTACAATGTACTTTTGAGTTTTAAAACTTTTGAGTTTTATATCAGGTGCAGAACGCCTCTATGATAGCATTGAGGATATGATTGGATATCGGCCCTGGCCCTTCATGAAGTGCTGCTGGAAATATCTAACACCAGCTATATGCACAGTGAGTATCATTTAAATCCCTTGAAATCTTTTTCTGAGGCTTTTTAAAACTCAGAGCAAATGTTTAATTCTTTATTTTCATATTGTAACCACAAACTATCCTCAGACCAGTATGTAGAGGTACGAAGTAATTTGTCTGCCACCTGCGAGTCTGTGTCTGACACCTGTCATTTGTGTCTGTCTTTAAACTGACAGCACTTCAAAACAGAAGAAAACCCTTCTCCTATTCTGAGACTTTGTGCACTGACTCAATGTGACAAATCATACCAAACTAACTGACGGCTCCCCATTGCTCATCATTCTCTTTCCTGTCTATTTAGGGAACATTTATCTTCTCCTTGGTTAAATACACTCCTCTGAAGTTCAACAATGTGTATGAGTATCCCTGGTGGGGTTATGCGATTGGTGGCTTCTTCACCCTTTCCTCCACTCTATATATATATATATATATATATAATTATTATTATTATTATTTTTTATTTTTTTATTTTTTTTATTTTTTTTTCTATGTATTCATTTATATATTTAAAACATAATGTTAATGAAATTTCTGATATTTATAATTTATTTTCAAAATAATTAACCCTGTGCATCATTTTTAAAATAATTTTTCATATCAGAGAGTAAGAGTCTTGTGTACTCCTGCTGAAGACCTGCCTGATCCTAAACACCCAAAACAGAAGCTAAACACTGTTTCTTTTGAGACCTTCACAGACCTATTGACTTTAAGAACTGTTCATACACCCAACTCACTACCTCACAGAGACATTGTCTGATTGTATTTGGCCTTCTGATCTGTGACAAACATTGTTAACCCAGTGTCATTTGACTGGCGTTGTAATGAACCAGTGCCGTAACCACCATAGACAGTGAGGAGGAAAAGTCCACCCCAATAATTAGAAATGGCCACATTGTCCCCTCCCCAGAATTAGAAATTCTTGCACTGCTCTGCTGTACTCCATTACACAGTACTCTGTTTGTCATTAGGATGGCAAAACGTTTTTTTTTTTTTTTTTACTTTAAAAGTTACATTTTAGGCTTGTCTGCCTCAGCGTTCAACAGCGCTTGTCAGTGTCAAAATGACTGAGATGGCCAATAAAAATGTAAGTAGGAGAGGTTTACTGTTCACAGAAATAGAGCAAATTCCAGCATGAAGTGCCAGTTTTAATGTTGAAAGATTGAGGTGACATGAAAGTAGCAATACATTTAATATTTGACATCTGTTTTATGATAGAAATGTTTTTAAAAAATGACAGTAACATCCAGTGAAACAAACTACTAAACCCCCCCCCACCCCACTCAAATTTCGCCAGTTTGAATGGAAAATGTTGAAAATTTTGGTATGATTTGTGCAATTCCTAACAGAATGTAATGAGACAAGAAACATTTTGCATTTTCAACATATTAGCCATACAAATAAGAGTGAATGTGTGCATTATTACTTCTCAACTAGAATTACTAGAATTTCCTTTTCTTTATATTAAAAAATATATTAATTAAAAAAAAATTGGTCCCTCCTAATGTTCAAGACATGGTTACTGCTTTGTTATGAAGATCATATGATGGTTAAGTATTGAAGTGTTTATCAAAGCAACAGTTTTTTAATTGATCATACAGTTACATGATAAAGTTCATATGGAGAATAAGTTTGTATATATGTGTATTTCAAATGAATTAACAGGACAAGGCTTGTTTGCTCTTAATAAATGCATTGAAGTGTTACCACAAAAAGGGCCTTGAAGGTCACCTGTTACGTTTTTCAGCTATCCCTTTAAGAGTGAAGTGTGTTTGTCAAACACACTCCAAAAAAAGTGTATAAATGTGAAACTTACAATTGAGAGTTGTTAGTATACAAATGTACAAAAGTGAAGTAGAACTATTGTTATTTGTTTTCACATGTTTTTTACAATATTATTTTTTTTTAAACAATTGTATTATTTTTAGATTTTTGTAATAATTTCTTCTGTTATGGTTTAGTTAGGGTTAGACAAATTAATGACAAAAGATTTTGATACACTTTCCTAGACTAACATGCAAGATCATGCCATCTGCTGGGTAACTAATGACATTACAGCAATGACATTGACTTCTCAATTAACCTATGTAAACATTTAAACATAAAGATTTAGGCTTAAACAGTAAAGGATCATCAGAATCAGACTGCAAATGAACAGTTATGAACCTTCACATGCCCAGAACACAGACTGCATGGAACTGTTTTTTTCTTTTGATGTACTGGAAAGTAGTCTTAGCTTGTCCAAAGGTGAATTAATGCACCACCTGCTGGACATAAGAAGTGTATTTCTGTCTCCATGCAAGTGCATTGCTATCCTATCCTATGAAGAGACTGTTGGATAGCTCCATCTACTGGACAATTTTTAGACCCAGGGCCATAACCACCACAGACACCGATATTCAGATAAGGTGTGTCTGCTAAAATGTGCTTTGGATTAAACCCATTATTTCTTCTTAATTTTCTAGTCAAGTCGAGGTTTATTATTTTTAAAGGGATTACATGTTTTACCTCTAGTTACTTTGTTGCATGCACACATAACCCAAGGCAACAATAAATAGAATTGTCTGTACAATATTTGCAGTAGGTCTACGCTACCATTCAAAGGTTTGGGGTCAGTAAGATATTTTGTTTTAATTTATTTTATTTTATTTTTTAAAGAAATTAATACTTTTATTCAGCAAGGATGCATTCAATTGATCAAAAATGACAGTAAAGACTTTTAAATTGTTATTTCAAATAAATGCTGTTCTTTTCAACTTTCTGTTTATCAGAGAATCCTGAAAAAATGTGTCATGGCTTGCACAAAAATATTAAGCACCACACTATTACTGTTTTTATTTTTTATTTTTGATCAATAAATGCAGCCTTCATGAGCATAAAAGACTTTTGTCAAAAACAATTTAGGTAACGCTTTGTTTCAATAGTCTACTTTAGACATTCTGCTTACTATAACTTGTCAACTACTGCAACTACATGTCAACTACCAGTCATTAGAGAATTACACATTATTTATTGTTCCCTCAACAGACATTCTATTACATTCTACTATAAGTATCAACTTATGTGAGTTAGTTGACATGTAGTTGCAAAGTTACTTATCGATATGAATGTCAATTTTAATGTCAAACTGCCAAATGTCAAAATCTTACTGACCCCAAATTTTTGATCGGTAGTGTATGTATTTATTGCACAGATATAGGACCCAAGAGTAGTGTGATAGGAAGGCTATATTTATGCAGTATACAGTTTATACAGTTCAGGGGGCTTGAATGTCCTTTTGGACTGATATGCGGGCCGTAGTGGGTAAATGTGACCACAGCCCCATAATGAGATCACGGAAAGCTTGTCCAACTTCTAAGTGAAGTTGACTAAACAGGGAGATTAGATGGCCCCAAACCAATCTGAGATTAAAGGACTTTTCCTCAATCCACCACAAATTGCTTCCAGCTTTCCTCATCTGACACACATGTCATTTTTAAAAATAAAAAGTGTTAATATCTATGATTTCATAGTGTTGTGCAAAATATAGATAGACACAGTGACCCAAAAAGTAGTTGGACACTTAAGCCATATTAAAAATGTCTGAATGTCATTACAGTAGATAACAAAGGGTCAAACCAAGTGGCATCAAAATACATTTTGAACAGTATACTTTACCATTTCAAACCTATTGAACTCCTTTTTATGATTTGTCTTTAAAACAAATGCCTCCTCCTTTGATATTTGATCAAATGTAATGACATTCATACTGATGCATGTGTGATTTGAATGTGCAAATACTTCATGAGGCCACTTGAAATAATATGATAGTAAGGTTTGTAATGTTTGATGTATTGATTTTTTTTTCAGTGTATGTATGTTTATATAATGTAGCACTATGACAAAATAAATTGTAACACAAGTGAAGTGAAGTGTGGCTAAGTATGGTGACCCATACTCGGAATTTGTGCTCTGCATTTAACCCATCCAAGTGCGCACACACACAGTAGTGAACACACACCCAGAGCAGTGGGCAGCCATATTGCTGTGGCGCCTGGGGAGCAGTTGGGGGTTTAGTGCTTTGCTCAAGGGTCTAACTTCAGTCGTGGTATTGAGGGAGGAAGAAAGCACTGGTTATTCACTCCCCCCACCCACAATTCCTGCCGGACCTGAGACTCGAACCCGCAACCTTCGGGTGACAAGTTCGAATCTATAACGATTAGGCCACGACTGTGGAACAAAAAAATAAGGTCATACAGGTTTGGAACAACATGATGGTGAATAAATAATAAAAGAATGAATGAATTTTCATTTTGTATGAACTATCCCTTTAATATAAAATGTGTATATGTGTCAGTTTACAGTTACATCATCAAACAGGCACATGATGTAATGTCTGCACAATCAACTGGGCCATTAGGGTAACTGCATATAGACTGGACGCTGACCTGGTTTGAGTCTAGCAGCCGACTCAACTTCCTGCTCATGATGGTGGCTTGCACAGTCGGATCTGTGATAAGCCCTTGAGCGCTAAGACGCCAAACACACTGTTTAGAGGCTAATCCCTATTTAAGTGATGTGTGACTTTTTACATTCTCTTCACACCTTTAGCCTCCCACGCTGATTTTCTTCTCATCTACACCTAACTATCCTTTTCTACAGTTTTGCTAAGCTCATTCCCAATCTCATTTGTAACAAGATGAAAAAGCTTTCAAAGCAGCAGATGTCTCAAATCATCCAATAGTTTAGGGACAGTAAGATTTTTTTTTTGAAAATGTTCTTTATTTGTAAGAGTAAGATTATCTTTATTTGAAAGTAATTAACACTTTTGAGTGGTACCAAAATAAATAAATAAAAATGAGAAATCAAAAAAATAAAATAAATGCTGTTCTTGTGCACTTTCTGTTCATTAAAGAATCCTGAAAAAAATTGTAGCATGGTTTCCACAAAAATATAAAGCAGCACAACTGTTCAATATTGGTAATAATGTGTCTTGAGCACCAAATCAGCATATTAGAATGATTTACTGGAGTAATGACTGCTAAAAATTCAGCCTTGCCATCACAGGAATAAATTACATTGTAAAATATGTTAAAATGGAAGACAGTTATTTTAAATTGTAATAATATTTAACAATATTACAGTTTTTACTGTATTTTTGATCATATAAATGCAGCCTAACTGATAGCATAACACTAATAGCTAATAACATAAAATCTTTTTGATTCCAAACCTTTGAATGGAAGTGCATGTTGAGTTTGGTATAATACAACAATTCTTTTGAGAACTATGTGTGCTGTTTTACTTGGTGTGGTGTATGGAGGGTACTTTGGGGGAAAGTGTGAATAAATTGTGGAACCGCTCCAGACATCATCGCAATCACAATTAAGTTTAGGCTGGCATCCAGGTTTCAAAAAAATAAAATTGGCTTTGGCTTACATGTCACCACTGGTG